TAATAATCCGAGCAGTTCCAATAGGGTCTTCGCACCCTTTTGGGTGCTCGGACCCTAAAAATACAGGTGCTAATAAGTCTGTCTTGGATTTACAGCATTTGTTTGAAGGCAAAATGTTTATTTCACTAATTTTTGATAAAAGATCTTTACAATTATTTTTCAAAAAGTTTTGACCATCCTATGCACTGAGTAGGAAAGTTATCTCAATGATAAATCCCTGAGATAATAAATTATGTTGTAAATTTCTACAAATTCTTATGACTTTAAAAGCAGCCGTATCAGCCAACGTGTTTAATTTAAATGGTTTAGGATTCTAGATTTGTTGCTTCAGAAGTTTTTTTTTGTTTTTTTTTAAACAAGATGGCATAAAAACACAATAAATCAGATTAGTTCTCAGCATTTTAGGCAGTTTATTTGAAAAACACATACAAAAAGATCATATACAAGACAATAAATAAAAAAGAGACAGAACAGTTTGGGTTAAGCTATGCAACTTTTTGCATCATCATTAGTAATAAATACAGTACAAAATCCACCCAGAGTGAATCTAAAGATTTTCCACAATATTCACTGATCATGTTATTCTTCATTATGATTTAGCTATTGCTTTCATATTATTGATACATACTTCTACTTTTCTATAAAATACTCAAGATCATAAAACATTGCGCGGTTACAGCAAAACAGCAGTGTGTTGTACAAAGATGGCCACTTCCCTTTTTCACTGGCAGGTTAATAATCAACATTTTTTCAGCAGCAAAGAAACATCTGAAATATTCAAGAAGGTACAGCATCATATTAAACACATCTACAGAGCTACTCCCACATACACATAGGAAAACCTGAGAAGGACATGCATTAAAAAGCTTGTGCTTTAAGTTCTACTGTTCATTCCGGTTCATCAGCTTGAGTTAATACTATGGCTACTGTCCAGTTCGCTCTGGAGTTATGGGGTACACTGTGGAGGGCATGGGGTAAGGCCAGTGAGAGCACGAAATGAAAGAATAATCAGAATAATAATAATAATAGTAAGACCAGCCAGCTTCATTCCAATCCGATACATGTTATAATAATTTGCAGGATTAGTAGAGTATTAATAAGAAATGCACACCGAAAACGTAGTTAGCTTATTATACCCAGGTGTAAAACATCTATATCGTATAACCACAGTACACCAGAAGTTTGCTCAATAAGATCAATGGCTCAAGTTAGCATGTTAGATACGTCCCAAAATCCCACACAAAGCAACTGCCAGCAATACATAGGAACAAATAATACAGCTCGTTATGTGGGTCCTAAAAATAATAAGCATTAAATTGAGATCCAGATATGATGGATAATGGTCAAAATGAAAGAAAAAAATGGCAAAAAATGTAATCAAATATTACTGATTATGACCAAAAAAATGGCAGTATCGTATAACAAAAGCAAGCTAAGACAAACGGGGTTGTTCCCCGACATCTGCTTTCAGATCAAAGCAGCGGTGACGTTCGAAAAGTAAAACACTGAGAAAGTGAAATCAAGAGATGACATGAATGGAATGTAATCCAGATCAACAGCACCATGCTGGCTAGAAAACGTGTTGGGAAACACCCCCAGTCAATTTTTCCGACAAGTTTCTTTTTTTTTCTCCTTTGAAAAAGAAAACACAGACGGCATGCAGAAGCATCCCCACCGACCAATGCATAATGAGGTATTCTTTTTTTAATATTTTGTGTTATTTTAAATAAATATATTGATTAAATTGCAAAGTTATGAGATAGAGACATTAAATATTCCACCACAATAGCTAGCTAGCTACAGTTAGTAATAAATAATGATTGTTAAATACTTAAGGCATCTTTAATCACAGCATTCTATGTGAACTAGCAAACCTCCATTTTCATCCATCTGTAGTTTTTTGGATGGAGGTTTCATACAAAAAGAAAAAAAAAACAAAAAAAAACAAGAAAAGAAAAAGAAAAAAGAAAAAAAAAACGCAACACAAACAGTCAAGTTACCCTCCAATAATACACAAGGAAGCATGAAAATACTCGTAACTGAATAGGAACACAAATTCTAGGACAAGAAGAACCCACACCACCAAACCAAAAAATCAGGCAACTCCATATTATAGTGCATTTACAAAACACAAGCTACATTATAACAACAATAAATATGTTTTTGCAGCATTGCAGCTTTTTCTTCACTATGGTTAAAATGGACAAGGACTCGGCATATTAGTACCATGTCCAAATTGGCATGTGAGCAAAAAAGACCCCCCAAAAAAATACAGGTAATTCAAAAAAAAAAAAAATAGAAGAAAAACAAATGGCAGAAAAAAGACAGTCGAAAAAAAAAAAATAATGTTAAGAACAATTGTTTGGTATTTTTCAAATGGATGGCTTTTTCTCCCTTTCACCCTCCTTCAAGTGAACTACGCCGACATGGTTCATGCATGATATAGAGAAAACAGCTTCTATCACTGAACGTATCACAGTTGTTCTAGCAATACCATACACTACTACCATGGGGGAAGAGGGGTTTGGGGACAGTCATACACATTCTAGCACATATCACAGGCAAACTAGTTTGTATTTTCCCTGTAACACCAGACACAGTCTTCTTTTTTTCTTTTTTCTTTTTTTTTGTTGTTGAATCAAACAGTGGGAGCAACTTAGATTGAAATGAAAGGAGCCGATACACAACAGAGGCGATTCACTGTATATAGAAATCACATGTGCTTGTTCGATAGGCAATAAGGTTCTGGTAATAGGTAATACAAATGTCAGGTACTGTTCACTCTGATGGCAAGACTCAGGCACTGCATCCTCAAGCCCATGCCGGCCTCTCATGATCGCGATCATGCCATGAGCGAGGCCACAGAGAGGAGTTGCTGTTAGACACGGATCCGCGAAGCAGCTCTTTGAATCCTAAACCGATAGGAGAGAAACGCTACACTGGTCTGAGATCGGTGTCTAAGGGCAACTTTGGTCTGAGTGCGGAGGGGGTGTGGATAGGGAGGTGGGTGAGGGAGGAAGGGCGAGGGCGAGGGGGGGGTAATTAGGTGCATTCTTGTCCTCCTCTATGAATGAGTGGGATCATCAGAGTCATAATATACGGTTCACATGCACAGACACAGTCCCTGTTTCTACTGCTCCACAATATTAACGACACAGCCCAAGCCTGCCATACAGCATGCACATCTGAGGCCTCTGCTCTAGATTATAGAGGCCCGACTACGACACTACACAGATCACTGGAAGCCATGCCTGCAGTTAGCGGGTTTAGCATCAACTCTGATGGCGTCTACTAACTGTAAATCCAAAACCATGTTAGACAACAAAGAGGGATTTTTGGCCTTTTTTACACAACTAGCGCCGCCTCTCGCCGCCCGTGATTCAACAACGCTGAATGTTCTCGCTGTCAGAGCTGCATTCGCCCTCTCCGTAGGTTTATTTTTCACACGACATATTTCTCAAAAGGCTTTTTGCTTTGCTACACAACACTGTTACTCTGTAAATACTTATTCAGTACTATACTCCATTACACCACAAGCGTTCAGCTACAAGAGTTCACACCAAACAACCTCATGCTAATCATTTGATAATGTTCTGTACAGATGTGCTGAGGGCTTGGGCAGAGTGCAGCTTAAAGGATTTTTCACAGGCCTGGGAGGGGAGGGGAGGGTAGGGTAGGGGTGGATATAGTGGCAGAGAAATGGCCTTAATACACCACACTGAGCTGGGGAGGTTGGTAGTCAGAGTGTCCTCTCTCTCTCTCTCTCTCTCTCTGGGTGGCTGTATGGAGAAATGTAGGCGAGGTGCACAATCTGACGGAATCGTGTGAAGCCTCAGCACATCTGTCCATACTCGTCCGCGCCTACCTTTTACATCCAGCAAAGTCCATTCAAGCGACCTTCAGTCCAGCCACCTATCTGTGCATCAACCCCCGTCCCTCGTTGTGTTGTAGGTGAGTGTGCTTTGTTGATCCCTCCGTCACAGCTGTCTCAGAAGGCAGGCTCGTTGAGTGATGCAGAGGGGAAGAGAGGGGGTGTTTGGCAGAGCTTTCCCCCCCCCGCCCGCCTCCTGGAGGGGAGGCAATGGAGAATTAACAAGACCGAGATCCAAAGCTGCAGGAGTCGACAGGAGCTATCAACTGTCGGGGGTCAGCTGGGTCTCAATGTCCACTCTGCAGATGGGGCATTTCCTGCTGGTGGCCAGCCACTGGTCCACGCACGCCTGGTGGAAGAGGTGCATGCAGGGTAATCTCCTAGAGGGGCAGAAGAGACACCGTCAGGATTTTTTTTCATATGTCAAAGCTGCCTTGAGAGAACCGTGTATCTTCAAAATGTCAAGTGTCAGTTCTTTTTTTTCTTTCTCAGTGTAGTTTTCAGAGAACCCAGGAGGCTTCAAGTGGTTGATTTAAGATAACCGGAGGAGGAGATGCAAGATTAAAGCTGATTTTTTTGATTGCGGCTGGATAATAAAGTGGATTTCTTATTTTAATGTTAGGCTTGATTTATATCACGCAGCAGGAGATTTCCTCTTTGTGTCTGCGATTACCTTTTGTGCTTTAATCAATTAGCAAAATCCATCACCAGGTATTGTGATAATTGGGCAAGTTTCAGGTAAAAAAGAAAAAAAAAGCCAAACAATCTTTGGCTGCAGCTTCTTCAATGTGAGAGTCGACTCGCTGTTCGCTGGATTCAGTTAAACTAATTGGAACGTTTCATCTCTGACTCGGGATTCTTCATCATGTTCTGAAATGTCGAAGATAAAACTATTACTGGATGTTCTTTTAATTTCCTTCATCTTTTTTTAAGTTTCTTTTACCCCAACATAATAATGTCAGAAGACAACGATGGAGATAAGTCCAGTACTTCACCAGCCTGTCTTTGACGACGTCTGACGTTTTTATAAATATATTATGTTTTCCAAAAAAGCTCAGTCTGGTTGCATCAAGTTTCCAGACAAACGTTGGATCTGCACGTGATTCACGGCCCCCGTCGTAACCAGTATCCAGACTGTGTCTCCAATGGATCCACTTGTCAGACTGTGGTTCAGGTTTGACATCAGAATGCGGCTCAAGTGATCTCCTGAGATCACATTTCGCTTTATAACTCACATTTGATTTTATCTGAGGGGAAAACTGCAACCGCTGCTAAAACAAAACCAAACGCATATCTGTGGTTGGTAAGGAGGTTTTAGGTGCATTAACAATATTTAGAGCTGTTGGCATTTAATACCCAGTGTGTAAATGCCAAGTGGGAACAGAGCCAGTTCTTAAACTTTAACCTTGTGGACAAAACAAAGCCACGAGCAATACGATCAAAACTCGAGGTGTACAGTCGGCTTAAACCCAAACTATCACCACATCACCGCTCCGTCTACTTTGTTCAATCACAGCCAGATAGACCCAGACCCAAGAAAACCTCAAGTCTTCACCAAGCGTCTATTCAAGCCTCCTTCTTCTTTGCGAGTGGAATAACTTGCTCTGTCACTTTGCCAGTTAGACAGATCACAGCACTGGACACACATCATAAGATTTAGTAAAATGTTAATGTTGCCTTCAGGCGGTATTTTCAAGATGAGGTGCTGGAGGAAATCCTGTGATAGGATTTTCAGACCTGAGGCTTTGAACTTAGGTGGCAGAACCAATTTAGGGTTAAAAGCCGCTCAGACGCTGTGACTGTTTATCCACTTTGAGGGAGAGCGTTGTGAATATAGAAATTAAGAAACGCAAAGACGTTTTCTCTGAGGCCTAATCAGCACGGAGAGACGTCAGACCGGCTTCACAGAGACAAGGTTCAGAGTAAATTGGGGGTCTTGGCTTTGTGTCCAGTGCATGGTAGAGGCTGGATGTAAAAACAACTATCATGGTGTGTGTAAAAAGCTTATCTGAATGCTAACGTCAGCAGTCAGATAATGTTTTTAGAGGAGTACTGCTGAGGCTGGTGGGAACGACTTTTGCAGGTATTTAATCATAAACCAAAGTAATGAACAAATTAACATTTTAACTCGATGATGCTGTGAGATAAAAGTCAGGAGACGGGAGAAGCAATTACATTTCCTCCTGAGGGGAACCTAAGTGTCTCTACCAAATATCATGGCATCCAAATGTTGTCGGGACACCTCTCGAAAAACCACAAATGTCAGCCTCATTTTGGTGCTAAAGGAAAAGTCAGGGGATCGTCAAAGTCAAGCTTCGTCATATCAGTAGCTGCTGAGATACGTCAGCTCCTGACAAACTCACCGACAGACCTCCAGTACACTGCCACATAAGTAAAACAAATCGTCCAGGAAACAAGATACTGCACGCACAGCCTTTGTTCACATCTGCACGCCCAGCGTTTTCCCTCTTTGAACAAGCGCGAGATGAGCAAATAGCTGTACCTGACATCCTCTCCATCCTCGAGCATCGACAGACAGATGGTGCACTTTTCGTCGGTGTCCAGCTCCTCGTCATCCAGACACATCTTCAGGTCCTGGGGTATTCTCTGCAGAGACAGCCCCACAACAGCAAACAGACTTTAATTATTAAAGCATGCTGTGTTTATGCCACGGGTGTCTCTGAGTCAGCCCAGACTAAAAACTACCCCCCCCTCAAAAAAAAAGAGCCACTTAATCCTACTTCACAGGGAAAAAAAAAAAATGTTGATGGAGAAGACTTCATTCCTTCTCTTCATTCACAATGTACGAAATATTCTGACACTCTACGCAGAGTGTTCGGGTCATATTCAGTGTAGACGTTTCTTTAAATTCACTCCACGCACATATCTGCAGACAGCTGGATGAGTCATCCCACGCCTTGAACTGTGCACACTGCAGCCCCGTCTCGCTAATCTGCTAACGGAAATTAGTTTGACCTCTGAACTACGGCGAGAGTCGCGACCTTCTTTCCACTCTCGTCTTCGCTCTTTGATCCTTTTGACCCGCCCGCTGCCTCGCTCTGCTCCCTCCTTTCACGTCTCGCTCAACTTATTTCTCGCCCAGCGCTCCATCTGTGACATCAGAAGGATCTTTAACCCAGCGGGAGGCAGGTACAGAGCCTCCGGCCTTACCTTTTTGTACTTATGGGGGAAGGTGAATCTCTCGATGGTGGTTTGGACCGCTCCACGGTTTACGCTGCCCAGTCTGTCCTCCAGCTGCAGAAGCTCCTATTAACCAAACAACATGCATCTCTTAATTATTTTCAGAAATACCCCTCTGTATTTGCCCAAAGACACAAACTAAACAAACACAATACACTGTCAGCGTGCATTAGCGTGTGGAACGTCTGGACATAAAGTAATGAAATTGGCACTTCAAGGAACAGGAAAAGAGCCTCTGAGAAAACAACGGCTTCTTTCACAAATGAATACAAATGTCATGAGATTAAAGGCAGCTGGACCATTTGAAGCATCTGGACTCAGGAGTAATTGTAAATAAGAAAATCAGTTACACACTCGAGCCTGTCCGCGGCATTGGTCACAGGGAAAACGATGACAAATTAGTGTCGACTGGTGTGTCTGCTGAGGAGAGGGAGGAAGTAGCCCAACAAACCTCATAGCTCTCTCTAACCGCAGATGCGTGGCGGGAGGGGTTGAGACTCTGCAGAGCCAGCAAGTGCAACTGGGGATACGGGTAGTTTCTGATCTCGTGGACGACCTGGGAGATGACACATAAAAGAGGCTGGCGTCAGCTCCGCAGCCGAAATCCGACGGAACAGCGGGGACAAAGGTCATCGGCAGTCGCTAGGTATCGAGATTAATCTCCGAAACCCAGAGGAGAGACGCGCTGGAGTTCATCGAGATGAACGTGATTGATTGTAAGGAGGCAGAGGGGAACTCACCACTTGTGTTGAGGCATTGTTTCTAGGGAAGTGGTGCATCCTAGGAGAGGTCAAGTAGTGCTGATAGTGCTGCGGCAGCGGATGGATGTGATACTGGTGGGGGGGCAGCCCAGCATCCACACTTAGATCCCTGGACAGAGACCGAAAAGAAAAAAAAAACTCACAAATCAGCCGGAGGCACACAAGTCAGAGTTTCACTTGTTTCTGGAACATTGTGTTTAGATATCTGTGGTGCTTCTGCAGATGCTCGGAGGTGCACGGTAAGATTGTAGAATGGCAAAACAATTTTGAAAAAGCTGATACTGCGATTGCAAAATATATCACATATTGAGTCGGCTGCAACACCTGAATGGCAAATGTTGGAGCGTCTGAAACTTTGTCATCACGCATCTAAACAGATCTTTTTTTCTACAATGACAAGTAAAGATCCATCTGTGGTAGACGTCCAAAATGCAACAGCTAAACCAGATAACTGAGGACTAAACCAGTGAGCTACAGTTGAAGCTGTTTGCCAAAACTAAAGGGAAACTAGCTAATTAAAGGCACATTGTTAAAACAAAAAAGGTAACAAATAAATGTTTTAAAAAGTTTCCGTGCAACTAATGGTATTTTAAATAGCAGAGTGTAATGAATTAGACGTTCAAACAGCTAAAAGTAATAGGAAAAGCTTTTAGCTGGCTGAAGGTTATGGACAAATGGTTAAAACAGATAGCAGAGAGGGCGAAACGTTTGAAAAAGTAATGAATAAATGGTTAAAACATGTGACTGAAAGAATGGATAAACAGCTGAATTGTTAAAAGCAACAAATAATTGAATTAGCTGGAGGTAATTGGTAAACTGGTGGAACAGATTGCTATAATTAATGGAAAACGGATTAAAAAAACATTGCTGGAAGTATGTTTGAGTTTCTGAGAAGCCTTAAGTTCTGTGTGAACTGGAGTTGCCGCTTCTTGAGTCCAGTTTTGATCCTTCTTGGGACCAGTCTTGGCTCATTTTGGCTTCCTAGAATGTTCTTCTTGCAGGTTTGTGTTCGTGAGAGACTTTCAACATCAGTTAACTCGCTTTAGGCTCTTTGTCAACATTTAATCTGGTCTCAAATTTGACTGTACCTTAAGTTTATCTGGGACGGACTGAGGCGTGAAGGGATTCGGTGCGGAAAAAGTGCATTTCTTGTCCAAATTAAATTAGCAAGATGATTTCACATAACTAAATATGGCTTCTGTGGGTGTGAAATCTAAACTTCCAGAGTGAATACTTCTGACCGTTTCTGTCTGTGTGGCACCGTGTTGGGTCAAACAAAGACATGTGCTGCTCACCAGTCTGTGCCCTCGGCCAGGTAGCGAGGCTGCTGCACCACAGGCTGAGGAGGGACGTGGAGAGGGGGTGCGAACTCGTAGCCGGGCCGCAGTCTGTGGGGCTGGTGAGGAACTCTCTCTGGGGTGCGTCTACTGAGACAAACAACCAAGCATTTGAAAGCATCCTAAAAAGAAACAAAAGGAGTTGTGATACGGCCTTAAATGTGATGCCACTGCGAAAGCCCCGTAATCAGCCAACAATCTGCTTGAACCATCTTAGCTTTGCCTGAGCCGTGAACCTCTGCGGGTACCTGGACGGTGGCAGGATGTGTCGGTGCTGGGCCTCGAGGATCTGCTGCTGGAGGAGGTATTGCTGGTGTAATGCCTGAGGTAGGAAGGGAGGGGCGGGGATGTCCTGGAACTGGGGGGCGGGCAGGGGGTTGAGGGGCGGGTGGAGTGGAGGGCCATGCTGGTGGCCGGGAGGGGCCAGGTGGGGGTTAATGCCTGACTGTGGCTGCCCTGGGTGGGGCATGGGGAAGTCCATGGGCAGCGGGGCCTGAGGACCTAACTGGAAGTGCCGGCAAGAGGTAGCATGGCTGTGCTGCTGCTGCTGCTGCTGTTGCTGTTGCCGGTTGAAATGGGATCCTGTGGAGGATAAGGACAAGTTGTCAGGCACCTGAGGGGAGAGATTAGCTGGAATTAATTGTGGGTGAAATGTGGTGTCACTGTATGTGTGATATAGCATGTTAATGAAGCCCTACCTCTTACCTAGGGTGAAAAATACTTCTGTGGGGGTGGGAGAATGATGGTTACCAAAAGTACCATGAAAATGACTTTTTTATTTTCTTTCTTTTTTTTTGGCTGCTGCTTTCATTTCTTTAATTTCCGACCCCTTGATCGACTCCTGGTCTTCTGATTCACAGACTGGATCAGAACAGACGAACTCTAGCGGTATACAGGTATTGGGTCTTCAATGCAGCTCGGTTCTTGTAAATTCTGCAGCTGACAGCAGGTCAGCGCACTCGGAGGTAAACCTTTATCACCTTGCTGTTAGTAAGAAATACGTGGAACCGTTTCAGTGCCAGGTCTGTCTCTACAAACTTAAAGAACCATTCCTCCACGTTATATATATATATATATCTGCGCTTCCCTGAAATCTAGCATCTCGCTGCAGCAGCTCCGAGTATAGCTGTACTATTCTTCTCCCATATGAACATTCAGGAGTTGAGAGGAAATAGCTTGAATGCTTTTTTTAACTCTCTCCAACCACAGGTATTTGGCATCTGCAGCGAACAGTCTGCTGTCGAGACTCGACGGGGAGGGAAAGACAGGCGAGCTTGTGCTGCGGTGCAATGTGGTTTTAATACTGTGCTTAAGCTGGAGAGAGACCTTCTGGATTACGGACGAAGGGCTGAGAAACAGCAATCACAAATTTAGCTTTGATTAGAAACTTTTTTCAGGAAATCTCAGCCAAAGGGCGCCGCAATCGTCCTGGGTTCAATATATTACAGACACCTGTCAGTTTAACGATTTAAATCGTGCATTTTTTTTTATAGCAGATACAGAATTCAGTGTAAAAGACAACTTCTGGTATAAACAGTGGATTTTCTTTTTCTTTTTTTTTTCCTTCTACAAATCATGAGGAAATAGGCAAAGTCTACATTGCATTTACTAGGAGCACGCTTGAAAAACGCAGTACGGGTATTTTAGCCAGGAAAAGGATGAGCAAGAGTGTGGCTTTACAGGAATATTTCCAGCTTGACAGTTCGTCAGCGTAGCCGTGGCAGACAAGAGGTGACCTTGCCGCCGTCGGGTCAAAGGCTCGAGTCTAGACTGCGAGTAGCACACTGCGTTTTCAAGCGTCTCAGTGAGAACGATCACCATGAATGACAGCAGATAGACTCATTCAGGCCCTGTGATGGAGGAAGCGTGGAAATCGTCTATCTTTGTCACAGCGGGAGAGGAGGTGGGTGGGTGGGTGGGGAGGGGAAGGAGGGTGGAGGGGAGGGGGAGAGGGAGAGGGAGGGTAGGAGGGGGGGGCAGGTAGGGACAAGGGAGAGGGAGGACAATAAATGGAAATCAGCAAGAAGCACACTGAAGGTTAGGAAAAACACTATATTCTTTATTGAAAAATATTAGTATATGTGGAATTTGTGTTTTCTTTCTTGTTTGTTTGTAATAATAGTATAAATCCATGCAACAAAAATAAACAACATAGACTGAAGGCAAGGCCCACCATGCTCCATATAGGGTTAAAAAGAACAAAAGCGGCATCCAATGAGCAGACGTGTTGGCTACAGCACATGATTTCAGTACAGCAGGGTACATCTTTACTACAGAAAGATTACATTGGATTTTTCACTAGTCAATGTAGAAAAAACATAAACAAAAAAATTATGAATCATAAATGTGACCATGCATTGAAAGTACTATTACCAGAACAAAAGGTAAAGAGAGACCACAACCAAACAATAAAGACGTTATTACTAATAGAGGATCTCTTTAGCAGTGCAGGAAAATAGGCATCCCTGTGAAATGGATAGCATTTTGGTCTTATGTTAGTGGGGTAAATTGGGAAGTGATGAACCACCAGTGAGCGTGTTTTTCCTACTTGCGACGTTTAGAATTTCAATTGCCCCCGCGAAAGGGGCAAAAACAGCCCTGACAATTCAGTGTGATTCAAAGCCTTGAAATTTGCAAAAAGGGAACAAAAGGATTACACAAAAATGGAGACAGTTATGGCAGGTTGTTGTGTGCAGGTGCAGTGTACCTTCAGTCGTTTCAAGTGATCACATGACAAGCGTTTGCCGACATGTTGATTTTTAACAACACAAATGGCATGCACGTGGGTCCAATTTGCATGCTTGCTTTTGTTTTCTTTCCTCGCTAATAATCATGTACATTGCACCTCGTGTGAAGAGAAGGAAGATGAGCCAAATTCTGGTGTTCAACAATGCAGTGCAGTATTTGAGATCATGCAAAATGTATCCACTTTACAGGAATTTACAGCATGTTGTCTATCAAGACTGGATGGGAGGTACACAATGACATTCAACTGATATCTAGAAAGGAGCTAAAAAATGTTTACTCAGTGCTACAGCAATTTGACAGAAAAAAAGACAAAAAAAAAAAAGGTGCTCTGTTCTAGGTGTTAGCTATTGTTTTAGTCTGCTTAACATGGAAAGTCTACGGCTGAATACAATCTTGGGGAAGAGAGAGGGGGAAGGGGGGTGCTTGCTTTTTTTTTTTTTTTTTTTTTTAATACCAATGTCGTCTTCTGATGGAAAGAGGAAATGAAGAAGGGATTCACAATACAGCTAAATGCAGAGAACAGGCAGAGGCCACGCCACACCACACAGCAGCAGATGATCATTAGCTACACAATGGGGGGACGACAAAGATCTGATAAATGCAGAATGTAGAGCCAGCCTCCATACTATGAAACAGGGAAATAAGAACAGAAATAAAAGCACAATGAATTCACTGATGCCACTGTTATGAAATTAATGTTACACTGTAGCTTTATCATTTGTTTCAAACTGTGACCGCATACTCGGCTCTTTTTCCTGCAATTCGGCAGCTTCAAACAAACCAGCTGCTGAATTGCCAATTAGCAAATCAAAGGAGGAAAAAAAAAAAAAGGCGACAGACGCGCTGATGGCTCGGATATCCACGCTTCTCCCGTGCGATTGGCCGCCAATCGATTAGTGCACCGGCCAATTGACACGGATAATAATTAGTGAAATCACGGTTGTTTAATAAAAAAAAGAAAAAGGAACGACGAGCGCTCGCAGAAGCAGATGATCTTCAAATGACATCATCCAGGCTCAGATAAGCTGACTGGCTGGAGAGGCTACGTCTATTTTGCGGTATTTTTTTTACACGGTGGAAACAACAAAGCTTTGTAATGTGGCTTGGTTTTTACAATATCCCACGAGCAAAAAGCAGATTAGCATCGTCTGACACAATTTCCGATGCAGGAATGTGTGTTTGACATCAGGCTTTTCGGACCGCACGCCCCGTGCATGTGGAAGCCTTTGTGAGAAATGTTTCCGTTCCAAGACATAGCCTGAGCCAACGAGCCAGTTAGCTTATCCGTAGCAGCGGCGGCGGCTTTTGCCTTTTTTTCCCCCACTTATTCGCAATTACACCCGGCAAAACTACACCACACGATGGGTCAAATTCATCTACGACGAGTTGCGAATCAAAGCAATAAAACGTTACGGGCTAGTTTCGCGAGCAATTTGACCGTTAATTTTTTTTTATTTTTTCAAAAAAAAGCTAGCTAACGGGAGCTAACCCCCAACGGCTAAGCTCGAGCTAGCTAGCCAACAGCTGCAGTGAATATTAAGATAAACAGGGCACATGTTTTGGATCGATATGAATATTAATACCGTACCTCTGTTTCTTACTGAGCCGAATACAGGAAGAACCAGATATCCGACATGCACTAACACCATCCTGGGATCCTTATTTTATGATTCCGCTGGGTTTTTTGGAGAGACAGAGTAGTAGTAGCCCATGCGGATCTACATTCAGGCGGCTGGTTGTTGCTGGCTGTCTTGGCTAACACTACAGGCAAACCAAACCAAACGACTGTCTGACTCGCCTGGTTGTCGTTGACAAAAGCAGACATGTCATTTGTTGTCCGGAGCAAAAGAGGGCGATATTGCAGCGCCGCATACCAAAGCTGCTGCTGCTGCTATCTGTGGGTTAACCTATCCGGCCTCGTAATAGATTCATTTTTATAGAAAGGAGTTTAACACATTAACAGGCTGCGGTTCTGTGTTTAGGGCAAAACCATAAAAACACACTTAAAGGGCAACTCAGGTGAATTCATTCTGCACATCCGGAAAGGTCACAAGACTTACAAGACTATCTATAAAAAAATTAAAAATGTGTAATCAAAGCAGCAGATGTTCAGATTTCCTTACTTTTATTCGGGTCAGCTCCAAAAAAGCTGAATACTACATTTCCCATAATGCAGTGCAATTGCTTTTTCACTCTGAGGCAAGTGGGGGAAAAAATTGCAGCTGTATTTTGAATATTTTTGGCCCATTTTAAATGAAGTTATTCCAATTATGTCAACTTATATGACATGTCTGAATAGCTGATTTAAAGCCATTTAAATTTATTATGGAACTATGCAGAAAGTCATAGAGATAACAGGAAAAAAAATCAAAATATGTTTTGTAAAAGTTGGCCTCTATTTGTCAGATTTGGAGATATCATCATCTGTATGATAATAATAGTAATAATAATAATAATATATTAATTTTGTAAAGTGATTTTCAAGATACTCAAAGCAACTTAACAGGGTATAAGATAAAAACAGGAACAAAACAACTTGAATAAAAAGCAGATTTAAAAAAAAAAAAAAAACAAGGTATAGAAGGCAGGTTAAAATAAAAAATAAAAAGTAAAACAGTTAAACATTAAAAGGTGAGTTTTTAAAGGGACTTGAATGTGTGGAGGTCAGAAGGGTGTGGGATGGGAGATGGAAGGGAGCTCCAGAGGGTGGGAGCAGCAGCAGAGAAGGTTCTGCCCCCCCAGGTTTGGTGCTTGGTCCGTGGGGTGAGGAGGTGAGCAGAGGAGGAACAGAGGTTGTGTGAAGGAGTCTGTGAGGTAGGAGGGGACCAGATGATGGAGGGCTTTGTGGGTGAGGAGGAGGAGGATCTTGAACGTTGTTTGACAGGGAGCCAGTGGAGATGTTGGAGGACCGGGGTGAGGAGACGGGCGGCAGAGTTCTGAATACGTTTTTTGAGGAGTTTGGAAGCTACACCATAGAGGAGGCTACTGCAGTAGTCCAGTCTGCAGGTGATGAAGGCATGGATGAGCGTTTCAGCTGCAGGGAGATGCATGTTATTCTGCCTGTGATGTATATGCCTCTAGCGCCGCTTCGATTTAAATGTTTGTTTGCATCATAAAGAGCAGATGCTGCCATGTTGATGACTCCCACACAAGCTGCATTCTTGTATTTTTTGGCTGGTGTGAAAATACTACAGCAACAGCAGGGTACACAACAAAGCTGTCATGTTTAGGGGCAAATACTTGTTGAATCAATATGTGCTGCACTCGCTTTTCATCATAAGAGTTCAATGAAGAAAATGTGTCCAAGCTTATAGTATTTTTTTTGGTAAAACAGTGAGTGAATGAACCTCAGACTGGGAATTCTGAGTTGTAGTATTTGGATTATCATTATTATTATTAGATATTATTATTAATTTCAAGCACAATGAAAAGCTGTGCTATAATCTCTGCCTTCATGAAAACAACTTGACTTAGCTGCAAATGCTCCACTGCTTGCAGTTGCATTAAATTACATCCATTATTTAATGTAATTGATTCTGGTAATTTGATAGAAGCCAAACATTCTTTTCTAGATTTGGTTTCTCTTATAATGAACTAATCTAATATCTAATTTAGACTATTTATCTGGAATGACAACATGTTTAGAATAGCTGGAAACGCCCCTGATTTATATGTTTTGTTTTGTTTGTTTTTTTCTATTTTACTTGCACCTCCTTCAAGGCATTTTGGGGAAAAAGAAAAAAAAAATGTAACACCCAACCAACAGTTATTATTGTTGTCAGTTAATCTAACAGCTACTCCCTCAATTGGTCAGTTTAGTTGATGCTGGGTAAAATGATGAGCAATATTCATACAGTTTTAGAAAAGCCAGGATCAGACGTCCTCAAAAAGGTTTCTCAAGCTCTGGAAAATATGTTGTCCTCCTGCATAAAATGTTAACGTACAGCCATCAAGTGTTTTTCTTTCAACAAAATGAAACTGCGTATGCTCAAGGAATATATATTACCCTCCAAATACACATATGTCTGCATTTATTTTGAGTATGTTCTCAAATTAGAGAAGAATTTACCACACATACAAATATTTCCCATTGCATTATAATATTGTGCTGTTTGTGTTTTATTTTTAATTTTTTGGGACAAATCTAAAGCCAAAGGGGAAACAAAAAAAAGGTTAGTACCCAAGAGGATGGTGAAGGTAAGTTTACTCTGAAATTACTGCTAATTATTTTCACATTTACACCTTGAACATTTGAATATTTACATTTCTACTTTCTTTATTCACTCAATGTGTTATTATTATGACATTTTAGTCTATTTTATTATCATGTTCCTGTTTTCTTAACTGTGTGTTGAGCAAATGGAACAAAGCAGTTTCTCTACAAGATCAATAAAGTTTCCTGGTTTTAAAGATTAGAACATTACTGCTTGGTGGGTATTTCTAGTTATTTTCTGTGTTACTGTTTAAATAAATGTCATGAATCATTTTATGTTTGTTTACATCCACTCACTGGCCACTTTATTAGGGCCAAATTTACAATCTAATGCAATCTAATGCAGCAGTTCTTTGCTCTAATAGATTAGAACTTTATTGATCCCTTTGGTGGAAACCTCAGGGAAATTGTTGATAATGTATATGTATAACGTATATGTAGATAATCTTGCAAATTGCAAAATGAATTTGTAGATTGTACATAAACCTTCAACTGTATTGGAGAAATTACACAAAATGCACAAATTAAACCAATAAAATTAAACATAGCAACGAGGAAAGGTAACATCAATAATACATAATCTCCACAATAAATTCACTTGAGACCTTCCCCATAGTACAATATACATACAATACATGTACATACATAAATAAAAATATATGAGCACAGTTATTATAGTAATATAGTGCAATATATTAATGCATAGAATGTGAGTGTCCTTGGTTGTCTGTCTCTAAGTGTAGCCCTGCGATGGACTGGTGACCTGTCCAAGTGAACCTGCCTTCACCCTGAGTCAGCTGGGATAGACTCCAGCCCCCCATGACCCTAGTGAGGATTAAGCGATGTACAGATAATGGATGTATATTAATGCAGAATCCATGCATTTTTAAAGTTTTAAATCCACAAATATTGTACAATAATAAAGTTATTGGGGTGTAGCTGTCCTCTCCGTGCCGACAGGGGGCAGAGTTGAGCGTCAACGCAGGAAATGTAACATGAGAGTCCCATAAATAGAAGAAGAGTTCATTCAGCCATTACATTCACTCACAGGCAGGTCGGAGCCGCTAGTGGTGGAGGACAGGTCATTAGCAACCCGAGAAAATGTTATCCGTGAGAGTTGCAGCAGCCTTGGCCAGAAGCCTGCCCAGGAGGGCTGGATTTGTAAGTATTTTACCTCAAGTGTCTCTATTTGATGAGGATGCTGCAGCAGTTTTCTGGAATATGTCTGTGAACCTTGTGGGCGTGAAGGGTAACGTTACCGCTGCAGGCCGCTAGCTAACTTGTCACCGACTTATGAATGCGGCTTTAAGCGCTAATAATCTGTCCTGCGTCACAGATGAGCGCGAATAATGTCGAAATCGTTAAAAATATACATGTTTAGCGAAGTTGCCCTTGTGAAATGACAGCCGTCGTCATGCAGCGCTGAAGTTAGCACCCAAGCTAATGCTAGCTCCGAGCTAACGGCTCATTCAGCCACGCTTTGAAGGTCAGAAAGCCTGACAGCGCATGTCCTCTCCGCTGCACGGCGGAGCCTCGGCTCAGCTGATAAACTGCGCACTTTCATTTGTCATCGCTGTATCTGCAGTAAACATTTGATTTGCAATCAGTCTTTATTTAAATCCGCATGTCATTGAAACCAGGTGTCCAAGACGGTACCGGCCGCCTGCGTTGGGGTCAACCACCTCCACACACACAGACCATGGCTGCAGAAGACAGGTGAGAGAGCCAAAAACAAAATGACACGAGCCTTCACACTGTAGGTCAGCTCACCGAGGCGACTGATCAAGGTCGTCGATCACACTGAGATTGTCTTTTGATTCCTGGGTGAAACTGACAGTTGTACATTATGATCCAAAGTTATGGAAAATGCCAGCTTCTGAAACATCCATGCATATCAGTGCAAAGTCATTCAGAACGATGTAGTTTTCTCGAAAAAGGTGATAAAGTTACCTGGAGACAAATATAGGTAGAGCTATGTTGTGTTATTTAAATAGCATTTTGCATTTGCATATACACGACACTGTAATGCCACGATGTCAGACTTCAGGTTGATAAATATATTTCACATTTATGTAAGCTTTTATTATGCTAATCTTAAGTTGATGGTGAATAGTTTGCTCTAACGTGACTCTTGTGACCTTTAGTGTTCTAAAATTGTTCAGCTGCAGCTTTATGAAATTTATGCTGTGATGTCGTGTAATATCCAGATGTTTACATGTGGACCTTTGTTTCCCACCTTAGTTTGATGATTTTTGTTCCCTGAATTAGAGTTTTCTTGTATATTTTTTGTATTGCCATGAATGGATGAAGTGTTTGTACTTTAACATACATGTCTCGTCTTTCACAGGCACAGCCGAGGTGTCCTCAATCCTGGAGGAGAAGATCATGGGAGCTGACACCTCTGCAGACCTGGAGGAGACCGGACGCGTGCTGTCCATCGGTGACGGTATTGCCAGAGTGTACGGGCTGAGGAATGTCCAGGCAGAGGAGATGGTGGAATTCTCCTCTGGTCTGAAAGTATGTTTAAAGGAACACTGTTGAACAGAGCTTTCTGGTCAAACGTTGTTCTAAACACACTTAAACTGCACTAAATACAAACACAATATAATTACATACACACATATAGTGTCTTACAGGATTT